CTTCTCAGATGAAGAAATAGATATATACAAAATAATGGATTTTTTTTAAAAGCTTCACTTAAAGGCTTATGGCTTTATGAAATGCCAGTCAACAGAATGAGCCTATTCTCATATTATAGGACTTGTGTTGATTACAAGTAATCAAGACAAATAGCACATATCTACCTGCCTGTACAGCTACACCAACACAGTCATCCTATCACTTCATTGCATGCTCCCTTTTCATTCATTAATGCCCTACTTTTTTTGGGTCATATTTAACACCAGTTGTACTCTCTGGGCAAGGACCAAGTCTCTATTCTGTCTAAAACCATTAGGTTGCTCTTGAATGCAAGTATATAAATAGAGAAAATTTCTGTGGGGAAGAAGCAAACATCCTGTGTCTAAACCTTTCTTCCCTCAGACTTGGCAATTAACATAGACCTGAACTTTTGCTCTACTTCTTGTCTCTCCACAGAGAATGGAAATACTGACTCCAGAAATAGGCTGAAAACAGCATGCAGAAGTAGTACTATAAGTGCCTAAAAGACATTAGGACATAAATTGACAAATTCACTTTTATACCAATAAACAAAAATGGATATTTTTGTGTCTTCTATTGCCAGAATTTCTAGGAAAGGAAGTTGCTTCTAAAAAAAATATGAAAATTCCTGCTAGAATCTATCACTGAGGTTTGAGGGAAAGGAAAAGAGTGAATTAAAGTGAGAAAGGAAGGCCTTGCAGGAAATACCTGGCTGTACAACAGTATCTCATCCTGCAACAATATGCAGGAGTACTTGAACTCCTCCGGGGAAAGGAGAGGCAGTAATCATACAATTTTAGGTGAATTGTTACATACAGTCTAAACTCTAATCACTAATTTAGATTATCAGTGGAGAAGGCCCTGGATTAAAACCCTGAATTGGATCCAGATAGACCAAGACTCTATTTGATCATTTCCAAGTCTAAGCCTCCATATCCAACACCCAATGGAGCCAAGAAATATGCAACTCCTTAGCTGGTTTTATAAGACAAATTTTGTTTTGATAATCTGTAGGATAACAAGTTCCTGGGTTTCATTGCTTTTGCTGCCTTTTTTTTAAAAAAAAAGTGCAATCTTTATCAAGTGCTAAATTTTGCTGGTCTGTTCCTTTATGCTCTTGGCAAGCTGTACTGCTGCACACAAGCTCAAATATGTTATATGCCTGAAGAATAAAGACACCCTCATTCTTCTGTAGAAACTTACTACTTTGGTTGCTGCTGCTCATAATAAATCTATTTAGATGTGAGGACTTAACTGTTGGCCCATAAAATTGTACTCCCGGATTATTCTGTGTTTGCTAAAATAGTACAAAGTATTTTAGAGTATTTCAGTGTGAAGAGATCTGGATAGTCATTGTTTTGCAGGGCTAACTGTCTGCATGAATCTCAAAAAATATTACTCATGTCAAATCCCTCCTCCTTACATGAGGCCTCCTTTCAGGCAAATTCACTAACCTACTAACTCATCCTTCAGAGAATATACCTCACCATCCCTCGCCTACACAGCAGTTCAAAATTGAGTGATATAGGAACTTCCTTGGGAATTAGTCAATTGACTTTAATCCTGGGTCTAATGCTACCTGCTCATCCAGCATTAGACTGAGGAATTAATGTCCATAACTTCAGGTTCCCAAACTCTGGAATGTTGTAACTACAGAACCAGGTGGAATGACAAAGCTTTAGGAGATTAAAATATTATAATCTGAACAGACATTCACCAACACAAACCTCTTACTTTGATGCATCTTCTTTGGTACAAGATCTTCAGGCTCTGAGCCATCCTTCTTCGCAGACTTCTCCCTGCTTTGCAAAACCCCTTTGCTCCAAAGATCCTTCCTTTATCCCTTGGCCTGTAACATGCAGACAGACTAACACTGGCAGCTTCCAGAAAGCCAATAATTTAGCAAGTTTTTTTTTTCCACTAATGCCCAGAGGAAAAAAAAAAAAACATCACTTGGTAGCTCAGTCACTTCACTGCATGGAAAGCTTTTGTGTGGAACCCACTGATACAGTGGGCACCAACAATGGGTGACATTCATGGTGGACTGTAGGTATTTCTACATGCCATGCTAGGGATGTAAAGGGGTGAAAACAAAGCATGCTTCCCAACAGGGAAAAAAATGCACACTTTTAGCTCATTTAAATTCGAGTAGTATATATTTGAAACCCCCTTGGAAAGACATAGAACATTGTAGGATGCTGTTCACAATGCTACTTTGGGATACTGGTAGGGTTAACCACTAGATCTGGCTGTCCTACGTAAAGCAAAAAAAAAAATCAAGGTCCTTTACTAAGTGAAAGAGATATCCTTACTGTATTTACCTCAGATTAAAGATATTACTTTGCCACTCTTCTTTTTCCTTCTAAGTAGTGTCTAGACCTCCAGACGATGTTTTTATTGCTAGGGAAAACTAGAGACTCCCAAACCTTTCTTAGTCTCAGAAGGAAAAAATGTCATTGTTACTACCAATTTGATCAGCAAAAGATTTTTCTAGTATCACAGTTCTTAGTGCTACCACTGAGCCCCAAAGCAACATGGCACAATCGTTTCCATCAGTTAGAAACTGAGGATACTTCTTGATTACCAATGTGAATGCAAAGTTTCTGCAAAGTTTAAGTGGTTATCCAGAATTAAATGACGGAGATGATCTGTTAAGTATCCCAGCTAAATGCAGAAAAAAATCCAGAACTGTAGAGATTTCAGCTTTTCAGTGAAAAGGCTTCTAACACACCTGCCCTCTATTTGTCCTTACAGCCATTGCAAAAAAAAAAAATGTAATTGTTAACATCATGCTTTATGCTGGTTCCCCATCATACACCTCATCATTTTAGGATATTCTGATACCCCATCCATGTGACATAAGGTGATGATCCCTATCTCCTGCTCTACTCAACCATTGCAGAGGCAGGGAGATAAGGATTGATGAAAATTAAACTATTTCTTGAGAGAAAGATTCTGCACAGGGCAAAACAGAGTAAACATGGCTGAAGTCCCAAAGACATAGCTTGTTCTATTTACATTTTGCAGGAAAATAAAATCATTTAAAGGGGAGGAAGGAAAGGAAGCCAGATCTGTAACTGATTACTTTCATCCTCCAATCTCCATTCATTTTCAAATACATTAATATAGCCACAATCCTGTTTAAAAAGGGGGAAAAGGATTATTTTATTTTTTTAATATAATAGACAAATGAGAAAGTTTATGACACTGCAATTGCTTTGTTTTATCAGCTTCATCATCCTGGCCAAGAAAATGAAACCAAGGTCAAATGCAGATGTAACAGGCTTGCAAGTAATCTAAACACACATTGGCAAACTCCCCTGAGATACCTCCAACTAAGTAAAGTTGTACAGTTTTTTCCTCTTACATTAACTTGGTTTCACTCACAGGACTCCTTTTGTGCCAGAAATCATATAAGCAAGTTTTCTGTGACTTGTCAGGACTTCTGATGCATCTTCAGCAAAGAACCACATGAATTTATCAGCAGAACTAATCAAAGGTCTCCTCAGTCCACTGTTTTGCAGTGACTCATATGAGATACGTCAGAAGCAGCACGTGACCCCTCATTACAGATACCTCAAGTGAGATACAAGATTAACTTGAAAGGTTCTCTAATCTGTGAGAAACTTGTTTCCTTTGAAAACTGTATGAGTCTCCTTGTTATTATATTCCAGATAGGCGAGTTACCTTAAAGTAAGCCATGCATTATTTTGACATATGATATATTATTACTCTTTTTGCAGATTTTCAAGCACTTTGCTATTGATTGTTATGGAATTGCTCACAGTGCACACAGCTGTGAGAGAAAGCAGTGTTTTAATCTCTTCTAGTGATTAGAAGGATGATTGATCCTTCCACTCTGTCTCCAGTTAGTTTAATGCTTTTTTTCATTTCTACTATATTTCCATTTTTCAGTACAACGAGAAGCCTATAATTTACTGTAAGTTAAAACATGCCATCAGCTGATAACACATTTTCCACAGTAATCTCCATCACCTGCTGAGTGAAGCTAGTATGTTACTTGGGTTTAGTACCATCACTGCATGCTGAGCAGACATTGTTACAGGCCTGGCTAATACTTCCTTATTCATTTGGCCTCCAAGCTCCTGCTCTGCTTCTAGAAGAGGGGAGCAGCACAAATGAGCCTGCCCTGAAGGTCAACAGTTTCAGGCTGCAGACAGTCAAGGTGGGAAGAGGATGTTCTACCTCTCCTCCATGAAAAATGCTTTTTTCCTCATGCCCTGCCATTAGCTACAGAAGCAGATCAATGCAGCTGTGCACCAAGTGACACAGCAATGCTCAAGGGCAGAGGTGGCACCTCAGGGAACTGCAACTCTTGTGAAATAGATTAAAATGATTGCCCTGAATTGCAAGCAGAGAGAAAGGCTACTGCTGTCACCCTCATTCACAAACAGAAAAGAAAGCAAGTCTCTCGGTATAAGGATAATATGCCTCTACGAGTTCCTCAGGGAATTTCCCTCTGAACATTTCTGGTTTTCCTGTGGGCCTGCTGCTGTCACAGCACATCCTAGAGACTTCATTGTAAAAGCTGGTTGCTTTTCTCACTTTAGCTTAGGAAGTTGTAAAACAGAATGTATAAAGTAGCAAAAAGATGATCTGTTGAGTAAGACTGAAAGAAAGCCCGTATAAATTTAACTGTATTTTGTTGATACAGCAGAAGTCACCTCAGGCAGGTTTTTAAAGACGAGAAGGAAACTCCATACTGGATGCTAGCCTTTGAAGTGCATTGCTGTAATCTGTAACGCCTTTAATGACCAGTGCTAACACAAACCACAGTACCAAGGAGTAATAACAATAAAGCATAATAGAGTTGTTAAATACCAACAGCATTCACCGGGATGCCAGGAACTATTATGGTTTTGGATTAGAAATTAATGACTTGCATGAAGGGACCCAAGCAAGGCAGTAGAAGATTAAACAATACTATAGAGCAAAACACATGAATAGTCTCACTTACCTTGTTAACACAAGGAATATAAGAGATGACATTCACATTTCAAGGCACAGAATTTGTATCCAGAAGAGAAAAACAGGAAAGAAAAAAAAAATAAAAAAAAAATAAAAAAACTTGTAAGGGTAACTCATAGTTCCCCCTTGTGAAGAGACTTTGAGGCAAAGCCCTTCAGCCTTGTGTCAAGTGATAAAACAGCCAACACCAGCACACTGGAGAAAGCCACCAAAAGAGGGTGGTGGGACTGCAAGTGTTATATACAGAGCTCGTCAGCCTGCAGCAGAAGATAACACAATCCTCCTGAGGCCCCACAGCAACCAATCTGGCACAGCTGAGGCTAGCTTCCAAAGATTTTACTGGGGGGAAACAGCAAGGACTGAAGAAAGTCCAGCTGTCCATCTCAAACCGGCTTGAAACATTTGTATTTCCACAAAGCACAAATCCAGGATGAGCTGGTTTATAGATAAAAACTGTCATAGAACAGACTGTGCGTGGAACAAGGACCAGCATAAGCCAGACTTGAGAACCTTCTAGGGAATTCATGGAAGCTCCAGGGTATTCAAAGCTGAAGATGAAGATGTAATCAGTCATTACAGACATAAAAAAAATACAGCACGGGGGAATTATTTCTTGTACAATTCATTTGTGACCTGGTGGAACACCACAATCAGCTTCACATCTCTCAAATCCATGTCCTGAACATTTTCCTGGGGGTAGGGAGCCACAGGGGAGAAGTTTACAAGAGCAGCTCTGCCAAAAAGCAGTCACTACAGCAGATTGCTTCATGCCTTTATTATTATTTTTTTTTCCTGAAGCCACAGATTTAATGAGGAGTGTCAGTTTAATGGAAAGAGAGCCAAATAGCTCCTGACGGAGGGGTAGAGGGGCTCCATTTATTGCAGCATCCCATAATTTCATAGCGGGGCAGCTGAGCAACAGGCAGGAAATTAGAGGTCTTTTGATTCTGTTGCCATCATGTTGCCTTAATGTCCTTGGGCACAGGGAGCCAAGACATCCTTGGCATGGGCCCAGTAAGTACTTCATGTTATTCCAAGGATGGACTTGGCTCGGGGGAGTTTCTTTTGTTGTGATTTGCCATGGAGTTTGATTTTTATTATTATTTTCTAATATGCTTTGTTTATTTCCATGTCTCTGACACTTTCCAGAGCAGCTCTTTGCGCATTGTCAGCTTCAATTAAGGATTTCCTGGGACTGGGTCACTTCTCGCTGAAAGCCTGCAGCAGGCCTGTGCTAGTGCTGCTCTTGGCTGTCACTTGCGGAAATCTTATTCCATTTTCTGAACTTATAATTGGAAATGATCTTGGAAACGAGAGGCTGACCATTTGGGGGATAAAAATTAGGATGCATTTACATTCTTGGTAGTTGTCTGAAAAGATCTTTGGTTGTTGTTCCTACAGTAATGTGTGTGTCCCCACGAGCAATGTCAAGACAGAGCAGGGTGACTTTATACCCCACTCTTTTATAGGTTGCCAAAGGGGCAGGGCTGAACTGGTGTGGTAGCTCCAGTTCAGACTGAGAACTAAATCCTAACTTAAGGTCAAATTGCTTCAATTAAAAATCAACACCGAACGAATGATAGCAGCTATTAGCATTGTCCAGGTGACTGACAAGATTGTTTTAATCCTTTTCCAGTTTTCCAGAATGAAACCAAACCAATTTAAAGCCCTCCAAGCTTGGCCAGCTTCAAAACAGTCATGCTTGTGGTACCTTGGGGTGAGCTTTCTTTGCATATTCATCATCTTAGACCAGTGGGAAGAGCGGAGACAAAATATCTGTAGCTTTGTGCTGAGGGGTCATGGTGCTGGTCTGCACAACCTCCTCTCTGGGGAGGCAGATCCTGTTCCCTGCCCCTTTCTGCATAGGGACAACCACGCAGCAAGTGCACTCGCACAGCCCTGGCGTGCTCTGCCCTCATTTATTGCTTCTGTGGAATTGATAGCTCCAGCTCTCTCCCATCCCTGGATAAGTACATGGGGTTATTGCTCCCCAGCTGCCTTGGCAGCTAGGCAGCATCTTAGCACAGCTGCTTGCTGCTTCCTTCTCTCTCCCTGCCCCATTGGTGCCAGCTAGGAAATCAGCATATTTCTGATATGGGAGGAATAAGCCTGCTCTTAACTACCAGTATCAGAAATATAGATACCAATTTTTGGCGGCAGCTAGGCGTCAACCTCGGTGTTTATTAAGAGAATATCAATGCTGATAACTCGTGTATAACTGCACTACTGCTCTTGACTGGCAAAAAGACACTAATAATCTCTGCTACTTGTTGAGCTAATACATTTGTCACTCCTCATTAGCTTGTAATGGATTTTACTGCTACTGTTGTTTTTAGGGCTTTGGATAAGAGATACATATATTTCTGCTACTTAGGACCAGCTCATCCAGATACGTTTTCTAGCTCTTCCCTGAGGATGGTAATTGTTAGCAGGGAAGAAATCTGTAAGTCTCTTCATAATTAGAATAAATAACCTGTTCTGCAACCTATAGACTTAACATTTAGCAGAAAACCTCTTGGCTATGGAGGAGGAAAATCATATTGATGTAAAAAGCATGCTTGAAATCAAGACACATTTACTATCTCATCACTTATGGCCTGCTTTGGCTTAAGATGTCTTATTTAAAATCTATTCTCACTCTGTTTTCATGTCGTCTTCAATCAGAACAAAAGAAAAACAGAAATGGTTTTAAATGTTAAGACCATGATCTTCAATGCTGGCTCTGTTGCTGGAAGTTAAATTCTTACCCAATCCATTAAAGGGCACTGGTTTCCCATGTCATATCTAGTTTTGATCACGAGAGGGAAATGGGAAACAATAAAACCAGACATAATATGAAACAGATTTTTTGCTTTCTGCTTGATTTTTTTTTTTTACTTTTGAAAATATCTGAGTAAGAGTTAACTTCATGCTCTGAAAAAAGAAAAAAAAAAAGAAAAAAAAAAAAGACCTTTTATTTTCTCAATTCCCGATGGAAAACTTTGCCCTTAAAAGAAGAAGCAATATAAATAGTAGTGTGCTATAAGAGTGCTGATGTGGATTGGGTGGCTGAAGTTCCTGGTGGTAGCTGGCGATATTTCAAAGGGAGACTTACAAAGCTTGGGAGCAGATTCATTTCTAAAAAGACTGAATAGACTGGATGAAGTCTATTCTGGAAAGGCTCCTTCCCTGAGACAGTGTGTCTCACTGGGAGCGTGTGTTCACTAAATCTCCCTGTCCAGGTAAAACTTTATCTATCCTAAAAATAATAATAAAAAAAAAAAATAAAAAAAAGGCACAGTAGTAAGAGAATCGTAATTGATGTGAAGAGCAATGTTAATCTATCTCATTACAAACTAAAACAGGAGGCATGAAGCCAAACCGATGTGCCTGATTTAAAACCTACTGAAATGGGCTCTGTAAGTGGAGAAAAAGGGTTAAGAGAGCTGAAGACTGAGGTTTCTATTCTACTTTGTTTTCCTTTAGTTCAATGTCAAACAAGGTCAAGACTCGGTTTGGTGTTACATTAGCAACACCTTGCTTGCAAGCTTCGGAAGGCATTACTTATAATAAGGTTTTCAAGGCAGAACTGGGCTCTGTTCAATTAATTTGTTTCAGTGAAGCGCCACATTGTGATGACATGCAGTAAATGCTGAGTTGGATTTTTAGTACATAAATCATCCAACTGCATATTTAGAAGTGTCCCTCACAGCGAGGGTTCACAGGCAGCTCTGCAATGGCACTGACCAACAAGGCAGCCATATCCCAGGCTGCCTGTGCGTGCACAGTCATGAGCAGTCTCCTGGAAAATTGGCCCTATGAGACAAGAAGAATTGGACGTGTTTTAAAGTTTGATGTCAGCGATGAAGATTTATCATTCCGCTGTACATTCTTCTGCCTGCGACTGCCTCGAATTACACAGCAGAGGTAAATGAGCCTAGAAAAGAGGGGAAACAGTTGAAAAGGCCTTGAAAGATGTATGCGATTTTGCTGGATTTTTGAGACTTTAGAGACGTCATCTCACAAACTATAGGGTGAAAGTTCAAGGAAATCCTTCCTAGTAAGAGGGGAAAAAAAAAACCTGCAATCTCAAAAAACCAAGCAAGACACAGCACGGTAAAAAAAGGAAGAGGCAGTGGCAAAGGTTGAGGTTTTGGAGCAGTTACACCTCTATCTGCAAACTCCTTCTGAAAGCTGCTGACAGAGCTTTGGCATCTGATCTCCTAACTGCTGATTAACACAGCACTGTTTTATATTTAACTCAGGCCGGAGCAGCAGGAGGGGCTGGGGGTGGGGTTGCGCGGCTTATAAGGGGAGTGCAGTGGGAACAATGTTCGTCTGTGTTGGTTCCCTCAGTCTCCCTGCCCAGCTGCACTCCTTTTTGATCATTCATGTTTCCTCTAAATGCATGTTATCTTTAATTAATTGAGTGCCTCGTGGAAAGCGAGGTGGGGGAGACAGAGAGAGAACAGCTATAGCTACACAATTAACGTACAAACCAAGGCTGCTGAGTTTACCGAAAGCAAGTGCTGAATTGACTAATCAGCTTTATATGGTTAACGTTTTGCTCTGAGAACAGACCTGGGAGCTGAGATGGAGGACATGGATCTCGACGATAAGAAGCCCAAGAAGTACTGCATGAAGACAAAGCATGTGGCTATCATCTGTGGCGTTGTGGTCATTGTAGGTCTTGCTGTGGGGCTTGGTGTGGGACTGACCAGACCTAAATCGCAGCAGTCTTCAGATGAAACAGATAAGCCAACTCAGCCAACTCGGCCAACTCAGCCAACTCAGCCAGATCAGCCAACAACCTCTCCTCCCACAGTGGATGCAGGTCCCTGTCCTCCTAGAAATGATGGATCTGGCGAGTGGAGCCATTTCAGACTACCCACTTACGTGAAGCCTTTGCACTACAACCTGGAAGTGAAGCCTGAGATGGAGAAAGACATTTACACCGGGACAGTCAGTATTTATATTGCTTTGGAAAACCCTACCACCCACCTGTGGCTCCATCTGCGAGAGACCAAGATTACAGAAAAGCCCACGCTCCAGAAATCCTCAGGACAGCAGATTGCTCTGACGGACTGCTTTGAGTACACAGCACAAGAGTACATAGTGATGAAGGCAGAAACGGAGCTCCCTGTCGCTAATAACAATGACCCTTACATACTCACCCTGAAGTTTCAAGGCTGGCTGAATGGGTCCCTGGTTGGCTTTTATAGGACCACCTACACTGAGAACGGAGTGACTAAGTAAAGGAAATTTTCTTTTATTTATTAAATGTTCTTCTCTATTCCTACTTGCTCAGACCTGCTCTATTCCTGTGTCAGCTTCTCAGTCTTGTCTCTCACCAACTTGCTGACATTTCTGGGCTGTTCTTTAATTTTCTCATTCCCCTAAGGAAGATGTTGTATTCAAAATCTTTTGGCTGTTGACAAGAGTGCGCTGGAGAGCTGGGGGCTTTTGTTATTATTTTGAAAAACTTTTCCAGATTCTACTGGTCCCAGGTTACCCTTGAGCTTTACAAAAGGCTCCCTCAGAGAGGTAGAGGGACTGAGGCCTGTTTTTTAGCTCCATAGTCCAATAAAAAGCATACAGCTCTCACAACGCGCCGGATGCTCCCCAGAGTAGTAGTTTTGGTGTGAAATGCTCTTGTGATACTTTTCCTGACATTGTGCCTCCTTGATGTTGCAAGCCTGAGGAATATCCAAACTCTGTCCCTTCTGCAGCTGGTTTAAATTATAAGTTAGGGAGATCCAAACTATGAAGGTTATCTTTGACTTGAAGTTTCTCTGCTCCAGCTCTTCTTTTTTAACATATCTGTAGTTATGATATAAGCTTCTTGTGGTTCGTTTAACCCATTTCACTTCCCAGTCAAGGGGAAAGCCTGAAAAAGCCATTTCTCAGTGCTCAGGGGCAAAACTTCTCACTTAATGTATGGAAAGGGCACAGTACCATCCATTTTACAATATTTGCATTTCTGAAGTGACTTAGGCCATCCTTTAAAGCTAGAAGATAAACTTGGCTAGACTTGTGTTTCAAGAACACAAAGCCGAACATTGGTCTGTTTTCATGGCACTTTTTTGCCCTCCTGGGACAACAGTGTCATGAGTGAGAGTTGCATCAGCTTCATTCAACCTCTGGCAGGCAACGCCAGGAGTAGTAGCAGTGACAGGCACCACCAGCAGCAAATCCGGGAAGCAAAGGAAAAAGCAAGTACTCGTTTTTATGTGTAAACATGGTTATTGGGTCTGTGAAGAAGCCATGGAGGGAATAACTTGAACTCATGCCAGCTCCTTCCCTCTTGTTCCTCTGTCTAGTACCACTCAGTATTGCTTTGACTTGGAAGGCATTTTGGTTTCATACTTTGAGCATCTGAAAACCCCACAGGAGTTTTAAAGTGTAACCTTTTTGCTTCTTTATAAATCGGGGTGTGTTATTTCCATTTTATCCCTCGGATCCAGACAGTGTAGAAAGACAAGGACCGAGCATCTGTGGGCAGGAAGAAAGGAGAACTTCATAAGCTGAAGAAAGTATGAAGTGAGCTCAATTCAAGAGAGTTCCTACTCCTTGGTTTGGATGCTAGGAGCTACAGTATTGCAAGATTGATCCTAGCTATCAGTCTGCAAATGCTCAGTAATGAAGGGAACTTGAGTGTGTGAGTTTGTTTCTTAGGCTTGAGATGGGCTCTAATAAGTATAAGTAAATGGTGATTTCTGATAGGGTTAAGTTTGTGTAGAAAGTCTGTTGAGGTGCAAGAGGTGATGTACGTGATAGTGATAAGTAAAGCTCTGAAATGAAAGCAACTACTAGTCAAATTTCAAGATACTGCTACTTGGCATGAGGGTAGGTGGTAGAAGGGGTTAAGGAAAGATGGTGAGGGAAAGGTTTTCTTACTTATTAAAAGTGCATTTTCCCCTGGCTTTCTACTCAAAAACAATGCTGACTGAAATTAGCTTTTTGCTTTACCTTTGCCTGAGGCAGATTATCACCCTTGCAATATTTCAGCCCAAATAGTTCATCCTTTTGTTATGTTGGAAGTAAATACAAATTGGATCAGGTAATAGCAGAAGTCAAGAAAGTCTACTAATAGCAGCGGATGCTAGACAGAAGAGGGCTGAGGTGAAAATGAGAGCCAATTTGTAATTAACCAACTCCCCCATCCCTTCTGGGCAGTATTAGAAGCAGTGGGACCTTTTGAGAAAATAAAGGGCACTGAAAATTCAGTTTCCAGACCGAGCTGCTCCCCAGCTGCCTATCTGTGAGGGCAAAGGTTTGCCAAAGCATTGCTATAATGACTTTTGTTTACAAAGCAGGCAGAAGTCCAGGTTCTGCTGTTGCTTAGATCCGAATCTCCCACCACATTTTGTGGAAAACATGGAGACATGTGCAGAACATGCCTGCAAGTCCAGGAACCTTGGGAGGCTTAGGGAGAACACCTCATTTGTGAATCCTGTTCAGATGGATTGCACAATCCCCCACCCCCCTTTTTTTCAAGGTACTTTTGGACTTGCCCAGAAATGGATCTTGAGACACCTTGGGAACACAACTATTTAAATCGATGTGAGCATGCAGGTAGGGAGCAGGAAAGTAGAAATTTTGAGAATGCAGATTTTAGACAGACCTGTCTAGATCCTCCTGAGGGTGCCTGAACCCAACGGTAAGCACTGGAGTCCTTTTGTAAGGCTATTCCACTGTCTCTGTGTATTTCATTTCTTCACTGATGAAAGGGGAATAACAGTCCTCCCCTACTTTACGTGATGCAGTGAGTAAAAATATATCACAACTGTGTTATTTTCAAATATTGAGGAAGGGAGCACAATAAGAGTCTCCACCTGGTATTATTGATTCTTTTAACTCACTGGTTCCTGAAAGGGAATGTGCTAATACCTTCCTTTATTTTCACCTTGATATTGCAGATAAAACAAACATGTTAAGACATCTGATTTTGATTTTGAATGACTGTTTGTGACAATGTATGGTTTCCCTTTTATAGGAATTCTCTCTGTCCTCCATAAGAGAACAAAAGGCTTGTAAAAGATACTCAGCTGGGCACATCTCTAACAGATAAGAAGAGTTTCATTTAGGATTTTATTGATTAGATAAAGGCAAGGTTGTTGTTGTTACAAGGAAGTAGCGCTCTTGCATCTCGAGCAAAATTTCTCATGAAGAAGCAATGGATATGAATTTAATGTAACACTAGGTACAAAAAAAAAAAGCATTACTCAGCTCAAGGAGAGCACTTTTTTGCAGTAAAACCCTGTGTTTGCAGTGGGAAAAAAATGGAAATTAATCATAGTTCTAAATGCAGACCTGTTTTACTTTGGAAACAACAGCTGGATGCAGTCTCAGCCAGGTCTTCACTCCCTATTACTAGGATATTTACAGCTGTCACCTCAAGTTCATATTTAAAGGTCTGGATATCAACAGCAAGTAGAAGGGTGGATTTCATCAAGCAGCAACGAAAATCTTATCTAAAAACTACATTATACAGTTTGGGAGGAAGTTACAACATCTCATGTTTCTAGTGCCACTTGCATGCCATAGCCTGGAGTACTGATCATCCACTACTGGAGAGGTAGTGCTGCGGTTTTGCACTGCTGCTGTCTGTCTGCCTCCACAAATAGATGAGGATAGATAATCACCTTATAAATCAGAAGAGCTATCATAGTGTTATCCATCTTTAGGAACGAGATATAAATGTGTCAAAATATATAGCCAAATTTTTAAGCAATAGACGTGAAGCATTGCCCTGGGGACTTGAAGTTAACTTCATTGTGAAATAGCTTTCAAATCCAACCAAAAGTAGAGAGTTACATCAATTTACTGAGCAAACGAAACTCTACTGAGCCTGAAGTTATGTTAAGATGAGGGTTCGTTATGCTTTCTGCTCATGAACTACAGAGTTACTATTCCAATGAACATGAATGGTGAGAACCCAGACATATTACCTCATCAGGCTTGTAAATGAACCTTGCTGCTACAAGTTCCTAATGACCAGTTTAGTATTTAACCACCACAAAGAACAGCCAAGGGCAACAGAAACAGTGAAAAATTGGTTGTCAAGTGAGCCTGTAGGACTGCTGCAGATCTGTAATTTACGATGTACACTTTTAATTACGTTTCGGAAAGAAAAACTACCTTAATATAGTTGGAGCAGCTGTAGAAGTGCTGTCAAAAATGCTCAACATTCCAGATTAATTGAAGAAGCATCTGTGATCTCTTTCACCATTAATCACTGAAGAATACGTTCTGCCACTGAATGGTTCGTTAATGGGGAAGCCCAATGTCACTGTGAGAAGCAAGCACACAATAGGAACTTTCACAACCTTCATCTTATTTTCTTCTGTCACCCCTTATTCTCTAGTTCTTCTGGTTGTTCTTATTTAAGTGAGATGGCTTGCTAACCCCCCTTGAGACAGTTAACATAGCATCAGTTTTGTGCTAGGATGTTTACCTGGACTTCCCATGCTTTCTCAAGCACTTTCTTTATTGGAAGTCAGAGGAGTGTAACAGCACCAGCAGAAAAGTGTATGTGGTCACTGCAGAGAAAGAAACACATAGGTAGGGTGAGTTTTCAGGGACACTAAAAGAATTCCAAAGTGTCTTCTTGGAGATGCCTAAAACTCCAATCCCAAGATGAACTCTAGATGGTAAACAACACATGGAATTACTTAAGTAAATAGCTCTATATCAGAACCTATATTTCCTTTTATAGATACCAACATCATTTTAGGCACAGAAATCAATGGGAATACTCATAAGGAAGGCAAGCAAAAGTCTACCATCCAGGAGGGGTCATTTGTATCTTATTACCTGTCTCCTAAAATATTTCATGATAAGTAATTGTCTTTAGTTTTTGCTCTGAACCCTAGAGGATGTTGATGATAGAGTCTGAGGTACGTATGCTCCACATGCCTATATGATGTTATCTTCTGCATTTCTGATGTCACCTACTTTTATGAATGGACAAAACATTTGTACTTGATTTTAGTTTGTAAAGTTGCTAAATACTTATGCTTAGAAAGTGCAGATAAGATTTGAAAGGTATGCGGTGAAGGTTTGGAACAACCTGCCAATCTGTTGTTTATTTAAGGAGCATTGCAGCTACTGACCACGAGCCAACAGATGCACGGAAATCATTTCCTTGCTTTGATGAACCCAACAAAAAGGCAACTTACAATATATCTATCATCCATCAAAACACGTATGAAGCACTTGCCAACATGCCAGTACAGGTATGTATTTCCCAATTCTACTGCCTAAGAGGGATGGTTCTGTAAAGCCACTGGACACAAGGTCCTTGTGCAATCTCAGACTACCACCCAGGCACTGTAAAGCTAATCGTTAATAAATATTCCATGAAATCTGACTGATTAGGACTCCCAGTGGCCAGTCAGTACACAAGATAGCAATGCAGAGCCAAATCCAAATCAGAAATGAAACGTGTCTCTGTCTTCAGCTAGATGGCTCTCTCTTCAGGTATGATGTATGAGCATCCCCTACTAACCATAAATAGGTAACAACAGGTTCTTCAGTCAAACCAGGTGGACTCTGAGAAGAAATGCTTTGAGAGACAGCTGCTTCCCAGATCGGGAGTCTCATAATAATCACTAAAACTGCGTTATGTTCCAGTGAAAGAGCCTGCTGATCACAACCTAACAGCAAAGGATCCTGCTAGCAAGAAATAGTATAGGACTATTGTGTATAATAACACAGAATCTAAAATCCTATCTGTCAGATCATGAGTGTGGACACTTTTTAGTCCGCTATGGCTGTAATTTTCTAAATAATCTATTTCTGGACCTGCTATGTCAAATTCCAAGTTTGGGATGAAATTCAATGGCACCAATTATCTACCTCTGGGCGCTCTGGAAGAAGATTGAATGGCTTTTAGCCGAGAGTTTCTAATGAATAGTTTAACTGAATGTGTCGTCCAATGTTTAATTTCTAATGACTACGTTCTGAAGTGGGAGATAAAGTGCCAAGTTTAAAAAAAAGCTTCCAGCCTCCAGGCTGTTGACATTTGCATCTTCCCGATCACTCCCCACCCAGAAAATAAACAAAGATCTGCTTTGCTGTGTACTGTTTTATTTAAAGAGTCCCCAAACTTTAACTATGCATCAGCAATGTGGCTGAGAGAACTATTATTGCTGTGATACAGCTGCCTCCCAGACCCTTTGCAAATTTAAAGCTCTGATCTATTGTTATTTAAAAAAATATGTTTATGATACCTAGAAGAGCAGCAGGTACTTCGATGAACAACACATGAATCAAGAGTGTTTGTGGTACTTTTATACAGTAGATCTCAGATAAGTGAGGGTATGGATGGTGCGGGGGTAAAACTAGCTGTTATCAAGATTTAGTGGGGCTTGAGATCTGCCTTTACATCTCTAGGTGTGGTTTTGTCTCTAAAATGGACATAAAAAATAAGCTTTCAAAGAGCTAGCTACTGCTTGTTAATTAATTTGCTAAAACCCAAGTACAGGAAGGGATACAGATTATCCTGGGTTTGACTAACAGATGACAGCAGGACCCTTTTTCATCTGGTGTGGTCACAAGGTTGGTTGCTCTGTTCTTAGTAGTGAAGGATCTTTGGGGAATCATTTCAATGGCTGGAAGTTAAAGTAGTTTGCAAATGCAATGCACGTTGTGTGTTACACATTTTGTAGTAGTTTTGGTGGTGGGATGCTTTAGAGTCCATGTGGCAAAATCAGTTCAGCAAAACCAGGATCTTGTACATTTTATTTGCATTTTTTATTGGAGCGAATTTTTTTAAAAGCCCCCTTCTTTTTTTTTTTTTTTTTTTCCCACTGAGATTCTGACTTTGTTGAAAGACCAAAAGATACCAAATTAGAGTCAAATAATGAAAAAGTAGATAGTGAATATATCTGTGAAAAGGATTTTTTAGCTCATGAAAGTCATATTACCAGTGACATGTATGTTTTATTTACATTGTATTTATAACAAATGAATCTCATGAAGTATTGTATCTAGATGAAGGTTAGTGTCTTTTATATAAAGCGTGCTTTTCTCCTATTTTAGTACATCCAGATAGAAGCACAAAAATTTATTAGACAGGTGATAGACAATGCATAGCAGAAAGAAATTTTCAGAGTATAAATTGCATAGAAAAGGTTGTAGATTTGGTCTTACAGTTCACTTGAGAAAACCAGGAATGGTTTTAAATCGATTTAACAAAATAAAAACTATGATCACTAAGCCCTATGTACATTTAAACAGCCCACCAATTAGCAGTGCTAATTTGTGTCTGAGCAAGTTCAGGATAGATTTATTAATTTGGTCTTTACTAACTATCGCTGCACCCCCTGACTCCTGAGTGATGCACATATGTAAGAGGACAGAATCCAGTCTCTTCTTTGATCTGTCCAGAGTGATGTTATTTTATACAACTATTTCAAGAACAAAATGTATTAAAGGACACTGGAAAACTATTGGCAAAATTCTCATACGTGTGAATGGTTTCAAATCCTTGATGCAAAATTACAACCAGGTGAACTTATTCAGTGCAGAAAATCAACGTTTCATTTTGTGTATTTTGTCTGTTCTCATGCCATTGGCAGTGGGATGCCAGAAGGGGTGAATCTGGAGAGGTGATTTGTCATTCCTGGGTAGTTTTAGCCTTCATAATAATATGAAACCTAATTTTGCATGTTTGCAATTTCAAAATCAAATTAATTATTTTTCCATTTCTACAGCAAACTGTACAGGTGGAAGATGGCTGGAGTCGGACAACTTTTGAAAAGTCAGTTCCCATGAGCACTTACTTGGTATGCTTTGCAGTGCACCAGTTCAAGTTTGTAGAGAGAACGTCTAACAGAGGAATACCTGTAAGTCCTGTTGCGGCATGAACACGGTTCAGATGACAGATGTACAGTGATTTGCATTTTTTTTTTAAATGAATCAGCTGTTTTTATAATACAAACAAGAGTTTTCCCTTTCCAAAATGTATTTTAGGCAGCAGATCGGATTAGGTGTTCACAGTGGTCCCGCTGACCTTGTGTACATAGAGTATTCTGCAGTTTTTCCCTGTCTCCTATCTCAGTGAGATCCCAGCTGGCACATCCCATACAGGCACGTGGCTGAGGAAGGAGCACTGTTGCTATAACCTCATCTTTAACTTAACGCCCAGAGCCGGAGGGAACGTCCAAATCCAAGGGTACAAGGGTACAGGCCCTGGATACAAATACTTTACATTTTTGTGGGGGTTAAAAAGTGTGAATCTGTATTACATTTGATGTCTTTCCTATTTACAGTCACGGAGACATAGGACTACAATGTTATGTACAATTGCATGTTGGCTATAATATTCTTTATTTTGCAACAGTGGCTAAAGGTAACTTGCCACCTGTACAAATACTTTACTAAACCATACAGAAGTGACAGGACCTGGGTATTTGGCAGGTGCTCTGGTGGATTATGTTTGAATCTGAATCCATAAAATCAAAGTAGCTCCTTGGTTTAGATGCAACAGACACAACTGTTCCAATCCAGTTCTGGCTTGGATTCAATTAAAATTTCCTGACAGTGCAGCTGAACAGGCATAAGCAGGTAAGATAATTACTGAATAGCCAAAAGCCTGAAGAGAATTTGTTCCTCAGCCTAAGCTCCTCATTTAGCCTACAACTAGTCTGGGATGCTAAACCCACTCTTGATTATTTATTGGTTTACATTGCCTTTCATCTGAGAGAGAGGGTGATGCCACAACTGCGTGCCCTTTATGCTTCCCCTTCCTTTCCCTACCTGAAAAAGCAGTGGCACATTCAGGCTGCCTGCTGGTGTGAAAAGCTGCCTTGTATAAAGCTCCAAAGTGCTGATCCTGCTCTTAGCAAAGACTTCCTGGCAGAGCTCTGTGCTGAGGCCTTCCTCCTCAACGCCTTTGCTAACATCGTGCCGTACGCTTGCCTTACTTCCTGACAAACAACTGAGGCTAAATTGCACTTAGCCAAGGAAATGGAGCCTGGCTTGACATAGTGATGCAGTATTCTGAGATCCCTGCTGTTTGGCTGAGTAAGCTGCAAAACAGGAGAATGTTTTAGGCCACTCAGCCATGTATTTTTGTTAACATGATGCTGTTTGGCTTGGCTGCTCCACTTATTGTCAGGAACAAGATTTTGGTTCTTTGGCCTCAATAGATATTCTCTAGAGTTTAGTTATTAAAAAAACCTGAATTTATGCAGCTCTAGAATCACAGAATCATTTGGGTTGGAAAAGACCCTCAAGATCAAGTCCAACCATCAACCTGACCTACCAAGTCCCATCACTAAGCCATGTCACTTAGTGCCACGTCCACATCTCCAGGGATGGGGACTCCACCACTTCCCTGGGCAGCCCATTCTAATGCTTGACCAACTTCTCTGTGAAGAAATTCTTCCTAATATCCAATCTAACCCCCCCCTCCGCTGTAACTGGAGACCATTTCCTCACATCCTATCACTTGTTACCTGAGAAAATAAAAAAAAAAAAAAAAGAGAGCTTTATAGAATATAGTGTTGTAGAAAAAAAAAAAAAAAAGAAAAAA